AGTTGTTTGTTCCAAAGACTCCACAAGACATAGAGTTGGGTGCAAGACTGTTAAAACTAAAACAAACTTAAGATACGCATGACATGAGAAAAGGAAGATCCGAGAAAGAAAATAAAGAGGATGATACAGGTCACTTTGATCAGTCGTCAAACTCATGCATGTGATCTAAAAGATAGTTGGCTGCAAGCTCCTCATTCTTGTTGCATGCAAAGAATACCTCCAAGACTAAGTTTCTATCAAAACCCATTGCCTCCAGCTGCAGAAATGAGTTTTAAGTAAGTAAAAGTACAAGAAAGTTATTTAAAAAAACTAAATATATACTGAAGTAAATGATAAAGCTTACACGTTCAATTGCATCACGCTCCTCAGGGGTGACAGTCACAGCCTGTGGCATAAATGGGTTCCTGCTTATGGATAAATAGACTAATCAGTATTTTTTGCATTCAATAACCAAAAAAAAAAAGTGGAAACAGTAAGGCAGACTCATCCCACCCCTCTCCTTCAACAGGTTCATTTATCAAACGCAAAAAGTCAGCCTGATGCGCTTGAATGAGCTGCATCAAATTTGGATTTTGCTTTCCAAGTTCCTGAAGCATGGGCTGCAAAAGAAGAAAAAAAATAATAATAAGAGAAACATTGTTAGTGCTCAGATGGTGCAGCAAGTGATTAAAAGGAGAAAATTTATCTGTGTAAGGCAAATATAAATACCTGCAAGATTTGAGGGTTTGCTTGCACCATAGCTCGCAAGGTTTGGAACTAAAATAATCAAGATGGAGAAAGAGTTAACAACTTTAAGCAAATTAAAAATATGATGCCATATAAAGAAGCTTTTTTTCTTACTTGTTGACTGTTGCGTAGAAAATCCAAGGTACCTGCACCAGCATTTGAACCCGTGTTGGGAAGGCCCTGTTTTTAGAACAATGAAATTCAGGGCCCAACTCCACATAAAAGTTGAATGTTAGTGAACAAAAGTTACAACCTGTGGAAAGAGATCTAGGGGGTTTGCGTTAGGGCCAGTACTGGTTGGTGCCCCTGGTTGTTGCACAGTGGCAGGAGGGTTTGCAGCCTGCCTAACTGCTGTAGTTCGGGTAACTGGTGGAACCTCAGCTTGCTCAGGAATTCCCTGAAATGTATTTTTTTCTTGTGTTATACTGGCATTCTAAATCTGAGGCTTAAAACTTGCTGCCAACTTAGATCCATCTAAGGTTTGAGATGATCAAGCCTGGAAAATAATTCCATCTTTTCGATTTCCTTTAGGAGCAATACTTTTGTGGGAAACACATAAGCATTCCAACGTGTCAAAATTCCATAAAACATGAAATGTTACAAAGAAGGCAAAAGCAGAACACATGCAGCATTCAGTTGACATGGCCTAAGAGTAATGTTGAGCATAATAGCTCTCAAATTTTGAATGTCTATGGACTGCAGAGCACAAGCTAATATTGTTCTGACTGAACAATAGGACCAAAGTACTGTAGCCAAAAGACTTACAGAATACAGATATTCAACAGCTCTTTCAGGGTTGTTATATGCAGCACGTAGTGCACGTACAACAGTATCCCGGTCCCAACTTCCTCCACCCATGTCAAGGATCTGTTGTATGGTAGCTTCTAAAGTACTTCCTGCAACAAGATTTGAAGCAGCTTGGCCATAGACATCTGACTGAGACCTGCTTCAAAAGAAGAAAACAGGAATATCACTTAGTCAAGTAGAGAGGATTATACAAAATTATTATCGAAGGATCTTAAAATTCTAAAGCTAACTACTGCATAAGGTTATAAGTGTCACTAGTATACACTTCAATGGCAAACAAAATGCTACTGATACTCAATAAAAGAATTGAGAAAATCATCTTAGAACTTCTTACGAATGAGGAGCAACAGGAACAGAAGTGAGTCCAGGAACAGAAGTGGGTCCAGGAACAGAAGTGGGTTCAGGAACAGAAGTGGGTTCAGGAGCAGAAGTGGGTTCAGGAACAGATGCAGGCCTGCACAGAAGCAACAAATGAAGTAATAAAGTCAAAAGGAAAATCACGTAAAATAAAAATCCAACCAATTTTCAAGCCTTTTTTTTTTTAAGAAATACCAGCAGTTAGAACTTACGGAGCCACAGTTGGGGAAGAAGCTTGAGGTGCAGCTGATTGTTGTGGTAGTGTAGGGGCTGCAGGTTGAGTCTACAAATGCAAGCAGCACTATGAGATTGAACACAAATGATGAAACAACAAACTCATGAAATCTATGTGGAAGACCCAGGCTGATAAATGGAACCAGAATATAGACCATTTTTGCGAAGGCAAAACCAAATTTACATAACCAATAAAAGGTGAAAAGGATGAAACTTACAATTAGCTCATGACAACAAAAGCAACTGACAGTAGAGAAATAGCCAATTGTTCACTTACCCGACTTGCAGGTGCAGCTGATGCACTTGATGCCCCTGTTGATGAAACCTTACTCTACAATCATTTCATCATGCATACATCAGTAGTATTAACAAATTTATCAATAAAATTCTGTATTATGCATTCTTTGAGGGATAATGGTGAATGATACAGAAATTTATTGATAAATTTCAAAGAATACTGGGTCATTGGTCCAATGATGCCATGTTGGCAGCTGTGGAGATGATGCTATCGAAATTTATAGATCTAACTAAGATTGGACCTAAAAAAACAAAGAAATGTAGACCCAGTTGTCCCAAGAAGAATGATTTGAGGATTGAATTTGATATTTCCAAAATTACAATGTAAAATAAACACCATTTGCTAACTTTTGCCATTCTTGGCTAAACCATTGGAAAGAAAAATGTTTCCTGATAATCACAGATATAATCATTATAATGCCTTTTATACCAGCTCTAAAATTTCTAAGAATAGTAAAACAAATGGAATACAACCAGACTTACCTTATTTAACATTACCACAATGAAGCTGTTTTCAGCTACTTTATTTTCATCCAAGGTTGTATTGTCCTTGAGAACTTTCCCTTGGTGAATGAGCATCTGTTTTGCAGCAGGGTAAACATCTTGACCCTGTACCGTTTCTATATTTTTCTTGACATCAGCAACCTGTGAACACAATACAGCAACATTTTTGAACCAACCTTGCCAACTATGGGGCAAAAGTAACAGTGCATCTTTTACAGTTGTCTAAATACTTCCTATATGAATTATATAAACAATTTAATCCAATTCTCTTGACAAGAATCACTTATTCAGGACAATCCTTCATGTGCTTCACCATATGCCACATAAGAACAAAAATGAAGCCAATAATTAAAGAAAAACAATCACGTTGACCAAATGAAGTTGGCTGTAGGTTTGTGAATTGCAGACTGATCATAACAAAATTCTTGTTAGGTCTGATTTTCAGATTATCTCAAAGAAAATGTCAGCCAACAACAGTTCAAACACACATGAGCAAGAGTTGAAAATTTAGATTCATATACAGCTAAGTGCATTAAAAACCACACATTCAAAAAAACAAAAACAAGCTACAGTCTACTCAATAACACTCAACCAAAAGCAAAATCTAGAGCAGAAAATTCATTCTAATGAATCAACAAGCACGGAAACTCACAAATCAAATGCAAAAAAGAAAGTAAAAAAAAAAAAAAAAGGACCAAGAGCAAACTGTCATGAACACCTCAAAAATCCTAATCGATCAACCGATTCCAAACATGCCATAAGTTAAAAATCCTAATCCGGGAACTGATCAATCTACTTTCACTTACACAATAGCACAAAGGGAAGACGTTTTACCAAGAAAGAGAGTGATTAATTGCGAGATTAATTACCGTGTCTTCGGGTTTCACTTCGATCTCGAAGTGAGTTCCCTTCAAACTCTTCACGAAAATCTTCATCTTCTCTTCCGTTGAGGTTCAGATTCACCGTCGAGAGGCCGATCTCGTCAGCCGTCACCGGCGATAAGTATGACGAAACACAGTAAGTGGAGACCAGCCGTTGCTGGAGAGTGGCCTGTATACTAAAGGTTGGGGGTTTAATAATATAAACTAGAGTTTACTGAAAAGACTAAGACAACAAATAGGAGGAAGGCACGTGGGATTCGTCATTTTCATGTCTTGTTGTGATTGGCGTTAGGAGTTCGTTACTTCGTTAAGTGGATACGTCTCCCCTTTCTTAATGATCACCGCCTTTAAAAAAAAATAAAATAAAATAAAAATCAGCTAGATTTCTGCG